CCTGGTCATTGCTCCTAACTCTTTGTTCTCTCGCTCCTAATGATTTTCCTGTTGATCCAACTGAAAGAATCAAAACCCCATTGCCTTGAAGCAGGGTTTCGTGGATCCCCATGGGGTTTGAGAGAGAATTCTGAGGAGTCTTTGACATTGGGATGGATTAAAGTTCCCTGATTGCTTTCCCTGCTTTCTAAATAATACATAGCTTTCCTTAGACTATGAATGAGGGCGGCAAGTAGCAGTCCCTGTAATTTGGTCACGAATAGAAATCACAGATGTTTTTCATATCACTGCAGTTACTGTAGATATTGTTTAAGCTGCCACAACTTTGAAACTGAAAGTCATATTAGATCCACCATTAAGTCTCATTATTTAATTTATTATTAAAGAAGCACATGTGTTTAACATCACAGTGTTTAATACTTTGCTCTCTGTATTTTAGTAAAATTTTTTTCATTATAATCCTAATGCATTTCAAAAAAATTATTCTGAGAAAAGGGGGTCCATGGACTTCAGCAGGTGCCTGGGTTGCCGATGGAACTCAAGGGTTTAAAAAACCACACCTGGGTGTGGCTCCCTACACCCTCTCCCAGGAAAGATCTGTCCTGCCAACAGAGTTGCCCTGGAGTTGGGGTGTGAACCCCTCCTGGAGGGTAGGAGCAGCCCTGTCCTGAGCACTGGGAAGCTCAGACACCCCCAACTGTGGACCACTGCTTTTGCACAGAGCCTGCACTAAATGCTGAGGGAGGGGGTTAAGGAGCTCTGGGGGAGCCAGGGGAGACAACCAGATGAACCACCCTGAGGCAGGGGAGAGAGCAGAGAGGAGGTGGCTGAGCAGAGACCAGAAGAGCTGAAGGAACTGGCAGAAGTACCACCTGGGTTAGGTGTTCTCAACTGAGCTGTAGAAACATGACATGGACAAGCAAAATGGCCAGCGACTGGCTCCGTGACTGCACAGGAGTGAAAGCGAGATGCTGTGTGTCTTGCTCTTTGTGGTAAGGGGAGAGGGGAGGTTGACCACTGCTAGTCTTCCAGTCAGGGCGACCGACTGCCCCGGTTTGCCCAGGACAGAGGTGGTTGCCAGTGATGCAGCAATTTCAATGATAAAACCCAAAAGTCCTGAGCAAACCCAAGTCGAGTTGGTTTCCCTACTTCCAGCCCATATAAACCTGCAGACCCAGGCTGGCAGGTGGCATGGTGGTTAAGGGCACTGGACTCCCACATGGCTGACCGCAGTTCAAGTACTGGACCAGGTGCTTACTTGCTCTCTCTCTCTCTCTCTCTCTTTCATTCTGTCCTTCTCTGGTCAAATTTAAAAAAAAAAAAAAAAAAAAGAAGTTAAATACAAAATAATTCTTTAAGAAAACAACCTGCAGACTTGCAAGGCCAGAGGCTCTAGATGTCATTGCCTGCCACAGGGAGCTCAGGAGGCAGCCAGCCCAGTGTGCTCATTTTACTAACGAGAGCTTTACCAACCCAGAGAGAGGTAGCCTAGTCCCAGATCATTTGTGGCAAAGCCTGGTCTAGAATTCCAGTACTGAACCCGGTCCATTGGTAGGTCCCACCCAGAGGCAGGCAATTCAGAGATCCCTTCCCCTCAGTCCTGGGCACCCTCAGGCTGGCTCTCCCATTCAAGATCAAAGGGGGCTAAAGGTGAGTCCAGCAAGAGGGAAAGGGAGTCATTCCAACAGGAGGGATGCCAGCCCCCAGCTGCTGAACAAGGATAGGTTTTTCTAACAGCATATCTCCACAAGCCTTAAAATTGCAGCAGTGCATTCAGCCTACCTGGCCTCTCCTTGAAGGCAAGAAGGGAGAATGGGAAGAGGTGGGCTTTTAAGACAAGAGAGTGGCTTAGGCTTGTATCTCTGCTGCAGGTGTGTAACTTGGTAAGTTGCTTCAGCTCCCTTCGTCTCTCTTTCCTCGTCAGAGCAGTGGGCACTGCCCCACCCGTGAGGCCTTTCTTACATGCTCGGCCTCATCTCTCAAAGCCACCCTGCCTGCCCCATCCAGGTGCTAAGCCGGTGGCAGGCTTTCAGTGCACGGTTGCTGA